TAAGAGTTCCTCTCTCTCTAAGCCTGTCTTTCACATTTTTGTCTGTCCCAGTTAATATTGGGGACTTTGAAATCCTCCACTATTATTACCCTATTAATTTTACACTTCTCTGAATTTTGCCTGCATTTGTCTTTCTATTGCTCTTTAACAGTTTAGGGAGTCAATTGTATTTTCCCAGCAAAGAGATTGCCCCTTTTTATCGCACTTCTTTCATAATACCTCCCACCTACCATGTCAGAAGATTCTATACTGCAGAATATTGGGCTGCTAGTCTTCTCCCTCCCTCAATCAGATCTGTGATAGCAATCATATCACATCCCCCAGCTTTCATCAACACCCTCAACTCATCTCCTACTTACGATGCTCCTTGCATTAAAATAAATGCCATCCAGCCCTGCCATGCTTACTTGTGCTTTAACTTGGCTGTATTTGCTGTGCCTTCTAGAATGATTTTGATTTGATTCCTATACCTATACTTGCCTGTGCATCCTACCCTCCTGCACCTTCATTCCATTTGTTAGTTTAAACCCCCACCAACTGCAACGTCAAATTTCCTCTCCATGATGTCAGTCCTGTTCCAGTTCAGATACAATCCGTTGGACTTCTACTGGACCCATCTTCCCCAGAAGCTGACCCAATGATTCAGCAATTTAAAGCCCTTCCTCTTCTCTAACTCTTTCAGCCACACATTCATCCAGTCTATCCACCTATTCCTGTACTCACTAACACATCATTGGCACCCTTTGCTTTTCAATCTACCTCACTCCCTAAATTCTTAATGTAGGACCACCTCCCTCATTCTACCTCTGCTATTGGTCCCAGTGTGAACTGTGATCTTAGGATGTTTATCCTGTAGCCTTGACTCTGTAGACCCAGGGAGACAACACAACATCCTGAAGTCATGACTGTGGCTGCAGAAGCATTTGTCTGTACCTATCGCTACTGAATCTCTTATCACTATTGTTTTCCTTCTGTTTCTGCTCCCCACTTGTGCAATTAGGCTCCGGTTGCATTCCTCAGACTCACTCCATTTTTCAACACAAAATCTGTACTTGAGTGAGATGTACTTTGGGGCTTTCCTGCCTATCTGCCTGCCATTCTCCTTCTGACTGATCACCTGTTCCTTCTCCGCATGGCCTTGAGCTGTGGGGTGACCAAATCTAAAAATGTGCTGTCCATGTAACTTTCAGCCTCACAGATGCACTGCTGTGCCTCCCACCAACACACAAACTCCAAAATCCAGCAGTCAAGCTGATCAATCAGTGGCATTTCTGCAGATGTGTTCATCCTGGCTGCCAGAACTGTTCAGGCATAAATTTGTAAACCCATTGATCATTTCCTTTTTTAAGATATATTTTATGGGGATGAGAGTGAAGCTGGCAAGGCTGCATTAGTTGTCTTTACGTAAACTGGCCTGAGAAGGTGATGGTTGGCTGCCTTGGACCATTGCTAAGAGATTTTTGTGACTTACAACTGAATCAATAATCCACTGTGCTTGTTGCAAGGTATTTGTTTTGACTAATTTCTATATCTAGATATACAGCAAACTGTTTTAACTGGCACCTTATGAACCAATATCGTCGAAAGACTGGCAAAAATTATATTCCTCAAATACCATGAAGTTTATTGGATTATTCTGTCCAATTATTATAGTTTTGATTTATTTACCTCATTGTAAATATGCTTGTTGTTCACTTGAATGTCATATGAAATATCAATGGTTGATTCAATTTTGAGTCCATTTCTCCTCAAATACCATGATCGACCGTGATGTCCCAAGTAAGTCATTTGCAGGTGCAAGTGAGAAGGCTCTGTGCCGGTAAGTTTTTTTTTTTTTTTTTTTTTTTTCTTTAAGGCAAATTTGCACTATTATTTGTGATTTATGCTGTGAATGAAGTATAACAACAATGTATACACCTCCTGCATTATGTTTCTATTACTTGGTGTATGTTTTTACATTGACCATGTGGACCTTTTGGTTATCCGGAATATTTGATCAACTGGCATGTTCCTGGTCCCATAGGTGCTGCTTAATAAAAAGTTTGCTGTATGTTTATATAATAGCCCAGATACTGCATAGAGAGAGCTTCCATTTATTTAAAAGTCCTTTACACCTCAGGATGTTCCGAAGTGCTGTACTCACTGTTCTAATGTTAGAAACTTTGACAGCCAATTTAGACACTGCAAAATACTAGAAAAAGCAAGCTGATCATTACCAGATAATCGATGGATATTTTCTGATCTTTATAGTTTGCGGTTTAAAAACAAACCATATAATAAGCTATTGACTCAACTGTGTTTTAATAGTTTTATTCTCTCTACCTCAAGCTCAAATTAGAAATTTGAAAATTCCATGTGTCGTTCAATAGATTGGCTTTTATTACTGTATTGTTAGAACATTTGAAAATAATTAACTAATGTAACAATCTCACTCAATAAACCTTATTGTTTTTGTTCTTGTTGTAGTTACTTAATATAAAGAACATGTGAATCATCCTGAACTTTAGTTTTTAACTTTTTTGTTCTTGTAATGGTTACTTTGTAAAGACCGTATATATCATCTAGAAGTTTAATTTTAGAATCATGCAGCAAACATTTTCCACTCAGTACTCAACTGTAGTGATTTGAGATTGTTTAATTTTGTGGCTATGTTTTAGCAGAGTGAATTCTTCAAGTACTAGCCAAGGATCAATGTCACCTCTGAAATCTTCAAAGACCTCAATGAATTATCCAAGTGCGAGAAGAATTAGCAGAAGCCCCATACCCATGAACAGTAATATAAAAAGGTGACATTTTTGATCATAGTTTATATTACTTCTTCTAAAAAAAAATACTGCTTAAAGCTTTTAATCATTGAGGTTGGTTGGCTCGCCGAGCTGGTTTGTTCCGCAGATGTTTCATTACCCTGCTGGGTAACATCATCAGTGCAGATTCCAATGAAGCCCTGGTGTGTTTTCCTGCCTGGTTTTTAAACTCAGGAGTCCGTCGAGCTGGATTGCCTCACTTCCGGTTTTCCTTCGTAATGGAGTGTATATGGGGTCAAGTTCTATGTGTTTATTGATGGCTTCTTTCGTGGAGTACCAGGCTTCTAGGAATTCCTGTGCCTTCCTCTGCTTAGCTTGTCCCAGGATTTTGGTGTTGTCCCAGTCGAATTGGTGGTTCCCCTTTATCCATGTGGATTGAGAGGAGTGAAAATTGGTCGTGTCTTTTTGCAGCCAGTTGGTGTTTGTGTACCCTTGTTGTTAGTTTCCTTCCTGTTTGTCCGATTGTAGTGTTTCTCATAGTCTGTGCAGGGGATCTTATAGATGACATTGGTTCTGTCCATGGCGGGGAGTGGGTCTTTAGTTCGGGTGAGCAGTTGTCATAGGGTTGATATGGGCTTGTGTGCCACTCTGATGCCCAGGGGTCATAGGAGTCTTGTGATTAGTTCTGATGTAGGGTAGTGTGATGAGTGTCAGGGTGCGTAGTATCTTCCTGATGTTGTTCGTGTAGGCATCTTCTGACCCAGTTTTTTTGGATACACACCATCCTTGAAAACCCGGACGAGGTATTCTTCTTCCTCTTGGCATAGTTCTGTGTTGCTGCAGTGTGTTGTTGCCCATTTAAATAGTGTTCGCACGCAGCTTCGTTTGTGTGTGTTGGGATGGTTACTGTTGAAGTTCAGTACCTGGTCCGTGTGTGTGGCTTTTCTGTGTACTTTTATTTGGAGTTCCCCATTTGTCTTGCGCTCTACCATGACGTCCAGGAATGGGAGCTGTTTGTTCTTCGCCTCCTCTCTGGTGAATTTTATTCCAGTGAGGGTGTTGTTTATAAATTTGTCTGTCTCCTCTAGTTTGGTCTGTTTAATGATGACAAAAGTGTCGTCCACGTAGTGTATCCATAGTTTTGGTTGGATTAGCAGAAGGGACGTCCTTTCTAGTCTTTGCATCACTGCCTCTGCTATGAGTCCGGAGATAGGTGATCCCATGGGTGTCCCGTTGATTTGTTTGTATGTTTGGCTATTGAAAGTGAAGTGGGTGGTGAGGCATAGGTCCAGTAGTTTGAGCATGTTGTCTGTGGAGATGGTTTCACTGGGGTCTTGCTGTTGTTCCAGTAGTGCTGTCATTGTTTCCCTTGCTAGTGGTATGTCTATTGATGTGAGTAGGGCAGTGACATCAAACGATATCATGGTCTCCTCGTCATCTATCCTTATGTCTTTGGAGTTGAGGAATTCTTGGGCTGAGTGGATTGAATGGGGTGACTTGTTGACTAGGTGCCTGAGTCTCCTTTGTAGTGCCTTGGCTAATCTGTGTGGTGGAGTGCCTGGTAGGGAGACTATGGGTCGAAGGGGTACTTTCGGTAGGCCGTAGAATCAGGGTGTGTTGGTTCCTTTTGGGTTTCATTCTTAAGAAGTCTGCTTTGTTGATCTGTCCTGTCTATTAAAGTCTTTTTAGCGTGTAGAGGATTTTGTTGCCTAGTTGTGGTGTCGGGTCGGTTTGTACCGGCTGGTATGTGTTTTCATCGGCGAGCAGCTGACATGTAGTCCCTTTTATTCAGTATTACTGTCATGCGCCCTTTGTCTGCGGGTAGTATTGTGATGTTCTTGTCCTTCTTCAGTCCTTCCAGAGTTTGTCTTTCCGATGTGTTGAGGGTGTTGAATTCGCCCCTTCTGGTTAGTGTCGGGGTTACTGTCTGTCTTATCATTTGTTGTGTTTCCTCGTTGATGTTGTTGGTTCTCAGTGTGGCTTCCATTGTGGCTAGGAATTCCATTTGTTGGCATCCCTGTAGTTATAGTTTAGTCCTTGGGTGAGAACGTCTTTTTCTGTGTCTGTCAGTTTCCTGTCAGAGAAGTTTCTTATCCAGGTGTCTGTTCTGTTGTCGTTTTTGTGGGTAAGTGTGGCTAGCTTGCCTTAAAGGGTCTGTATTTTCTTGGCTCTTGTGGTCTGTTGGCTGATGTTGGCTTGTTCCATGTCCATTGTCCAGTCTTGATTGGTAGCTTCTAGGAATAAAGTGTTTTTTTTTTTTTTTTTTTTTTTTTCACATAATTTCTCTGATGTATCTGTGGAGCCGATTGTGTGCGTTGTACCATCTTGCGGCCGTTTTGTTCTGCTGTTTTGCGGGCTTGTGGGTTGTTGATGGGTGGTTTGTATCTCACACTGTGTGGTAGTACCTGGTTCCTGAGGCATCCATGTAGGAAGTAGAGTTGTTCACAGGTTGCGCGCTCTTGTTTGGTGTAGTTTTCCCATTTTCGTGACAATTTGAGCATGTTAGGCCCATAGGTCTCTAAGGTTTTGGAGTAGATTCGTAGCTCGGGTTGTGGGTGTTGAGGTTGGTTGGCTCGCCAAGCTGGTTTGTTGTTCCGCAGACGTTTCATAACCCTGCTGGGTAACATCATCAGTGCAGCCTCCGATGAAGTGCCGGTGTGTTTTCCCGCCTGGTTTTTAAACTCAGGAGTCCGTTGAGCTGGATTGTCTCACTTCCGGTTTTCCTTCGTAGTGGAGTGTATATGGGGTCAAGTTCTAAGTGTTTATTGATGGCTTTCTTGGTGGAGTAAATGCACTGGCACTTCATCTGAGGCTGCACTGATGATGTTTCCCAGCAGGGTAATGAAACGTCTGCGGAACAACAAACCAGCTCAGTGAGCCAACCAACCTCAACACCCACAATCCGAGCTACGAATCTACTCCAAAACCTTAGAGACTTTTAATCATAGTAGAGAAACTAAAACCATTATTTCTTCCCATAAATTAAATACAATTACATTTTCTTTCTGTCCAAGATTATTGACCTGAAAAATTAATGTTTGATTTCTAACATTCAGCTCTGCTCAAGTACACTTCAGAAGTATTTCAGTAACTTGAATATTTTATTACTGTGGAATATTGGTGTTGCATTGAGTTCGAAGCTGAGGGATATACCACCTGCAGATGAGACAAGTGGAGCAGGAAGTTAATCAGATTCCATCCCCTGTATTTTGTGGTCTACCCAATCATGGATGTATTGGTTGGCTGCAACCTTATACCTACATTGCTGGGTTTGAATAGAAGGTGGGAGAAATGAATTCACAAGCCAGAATTACTGCTCCTGAAACTGTCCAGTAACTCTATACTTAAGTTGCAATCATTCCAAGTGGTAAACTGACATCCATGTTCACTAAGTAGTGAGACTGCATCAACATTGTACCTGAGGACTGGATGTTCCTGTGTGACTAGATTTCAGCTGAAAATTAAAATGGATGAAAGAAAATGGGTTAGTTTAAAACACCAGCATCTACTTTGGCTAGCATAGTTTACAGTAGAGTTTTCAATTAACCCTACAACTTCACTTGTTATTGTCTAAACCTAATTTTGAAGTCTGTTTACATTGGCAGCTTATTTTTGTTTCTCAACATCTCAGCACTTATCAAATGATATATGGTTACCTTCATTGTGCTGCAAGATTTGTATATATTCCAATACAAAATTGTGCACAAATAACGTTAGGTTTGTTGAACATCTTTGATGGGAGAGCATTGTTCTTCATCTATTTGCAAGAGAATTGGCCAGATAGAATGGGGAAGATCATTTATTGGCACTGTCCCTGCAGAAACATTCGGTGATCTGACTTTTCTTTCTCAGTCATCCTGCCCACTTACAGAAAAAAAAACTTCTAGAATTAGTCATATTGTTAGCTTATTTATCCCCGTCATTCTCAGTAGCAGTTTAATTGTGAATGTTTATAAACCTGCATCTTGATCTTTTTCAACATTTTTTTTTTGTGATGTTTAGATGTCAATTTTACCTTTTTAAGAGCTTTAATGTTTACAAAGGTACCTAATGTTTGCTTCTTTGGGTTTTATTATTTTTTGTTTGAATTGCGTTGAGTAAGCTTAATGTTACTTTATTCAGTTCCTTGCTCCAGTCTACTTGATTTTGGCTTTCGTCAGTAATCCTCAATTTGATCAGCTTCTTATTGTGCCCTGGGTTTTTCCAGGACCAGTAACAGCAATTGAGTTGTTCATCAGCTCACAATATGTAGACTCTTGCTGTACTAACCTCTGGAATGAATGCATCTTTTTGGTGAGTATTGAGGAAAATTGCGAGAAATAAATCCAAATTACTTTTAGGGTATGTTTTTAAATTTCCTGCTTCTGTTTTTTTCCCTTTGCTCATGAAAGTTGCATGTATGACTATCATTTGTCTTTTTCTAGAAACCACATTTCTAGTTTTGTCATAATGTGACAGTTAAATGGTAGATTTAATATGTTAAAAATGTACATAAGTGAGCTCATATATGTAGTTGAACTTAATTATTACAAGAGTCTAAAGTGTAGTGAATACATTTAATGAAGCCACTTTTAACATGCAAAGTATATTGAAATTATTTCCATATGTATAGCATTTTTGTTTCATATTTTTCCCCCATGTGCATTATGTCCTATTCCCCATTGTCTGTTTCCATTTAGCTTCTCCATAAACTCCAGGCTAGGCAGTTCACTAGGAAATCTTTATGCTGCCCCTGATGAAACTGAGAACGCTATGACATCATCTCCTAGGACAAGTGTTACATCTGGTTATCCCTCCAACCAGCTGTATAGCAGCTCGCAGCTTCCTGCGAGATATTATCATGAACTGAACAACAACTACCATAGCAAAAGCAACAGTGGCACTACCTGCAATATCCCCATCAATAATTGTACCAGCCCGAAGGATGATTACAGCGGTAGATCCACCTGCAGTGGTCTCGGTCCTGCCACCATGCGATACCTAAGCCGTTCACACCCCGTAAGTTTACATGTTGCTGCACTTTGAGCTGTTGTTTTTTTTTTTTTTTTTTTTAAAAATGTTTATAGTTTTGCTGTTTGAGATAGAATGGGATCTTGTACATGAAAGAGCAATATCAGTGCTGCCTTTATCAAATAAATTGTGTTAAGAATAAAAAATTGCTTACATTAGAATTTATTAAGCAATATGCTTGTCACAAATCATTAGACATGTAATGGGTTAACTGACCTCAGTCAAAGCAGTGGACAAACTTAGCAGAACTCAAAAGTCTGACCAATTCCGAAGAAGTCGGGTCGGACTTGAAACATTAATACTGTTTTTCCACAGGTGCTGCCAAACCTGCTGAGTTTCTCCTACACTTTGTTTTTATATCAGTCAGGACAGAATTGGACTCCTCTGTAATGTCTCTCAAGGTAAATAGCCAGCTAACACTCGTCATTCAGGATTAACTAATCATAGAACTCCTAAAATATATCTAAATGCACCTCAGTCAAGAGTTTGTTCCTTTTAAAACATGGACAAATTAATGAGGGGAATGTTAAGAACAATGATTTAATAATTTTACTACTTCACTATCTCACCACTGCAGTTTTAGTAAGAAGGAAATTAAGTTATGCTTCTTTCCTAAAACAGAGCAAACTCTAGGTAGCCGTGGGCAGCCAGGCAGTTCACTTAAATCTGAGAATTTGTGTTGTACTTCTGCTTTGAGAAGCTGTTTATTTTTGCAGATTCAAGATCAAGCTTGACCGTCTAACTGTACGAACTAGATGCAAAAGGTTTTGCAGAGATCCTGCACAATTTAAGGAGAGAAATACCTTGTTTTTTTTTTTAATTTGCTGAGCTATCTTCTGTAAATGTAGTCCTGATTGAAAGAAAATAGATTATTCAGTTTTCAGAATCATGGTTCCCACAGGCAATAATCAAATCTTGGATTGTCACTTCAAACTCTGACTATTTTAACAATCTTAAATTTCCGAAGTTTGTGATTGTCTTCAACTCACTTCCTACGTATATACTGCAAATATATGGAGTGGTCAGGTGGTGATGCTATCTGTACAATGAGGAATATTCCAGGTGGTTAATGTGTAATCAATCGTTGACTATCTGCTAAAACGTCATGTAGATGTTTGAAATAATTTCACATTCTGAATCACGTTTCTTGTTTTAAATCACATTTATGTCTGTCTTACTTTTAAAAAGACCAAAGCATTATTCATACATTTTAAGCATTCAGCCTCATGGTAGTTATGTGTTCAGTGGTTACCACTGTGTACAAAGCTTATAACATCCTAGTTTGTCTTCTATCACCATTATGAGCAGCAGAATATGTTTTCATTAGAAACAAAATTTCACTTATCACAATTTATCATGCTTGTTTTCTAGAAATTTTTACTGGGCTTTTTAAGGATGTTATTTATTACTTGTACTTTGCTTTTCATGCATTACAACCATTACACATGCAAGATTTGGAATAAGTTAGAGTGATTGGAAGTGCTATTGCTATTCAAGGTTTGATTTTGGGACAACTACTATTTTAATTCCACATGAGTTTGGCCTAAGGGTTAGCCTAGGTGGAATCAAATGTAACATTACCAAACATCATTGAAGTTTAGGTGTGACTTGGGCCTAGGACCATTTTATTCTGGATAATCTGTGACCTTTTACATTAGTTCAAAAGTCCTTTGACGCAAACCAGACTCTACTGGAGTACACAAGGGTAAATCTCCAATTATAGCTGTTATGTGTACATGGAATTCAGCAGATTGTGGATAGGTACCTATGGTAACATGAAATCATCAGTAACCTGACCTACAGTGACCAACAGTCCAATTGAAACCATTGACCAAGGTCTGTTTCACATGCTGCTGTAATTAGTCTTAATTCTGTCATTTTTCTGGTAGTGTCAGAGGGGGAGCATGCAGATTCTCATGTAGATCAATACATTGAATATGTACCGTGATGGAATGCTGATAAACTGCAAATTGAAATTGCATTTAAAAATTATGGTGAAAATTAAATGTCAGTAAGTTTAAAATTATGTATTTTGGTTTTAAAAGAAATAAAGAAGAATGGTAAATTGAAGCAGAGAAGTTTTGGGCTACAGGTTTGCACAACAATAAAGGCAGCACAATGGTTTCATAAGGCTGTTTTGTATTTTTAAAATGCTGATTGCATTCCGGGGTTTTTAACTAGTTGTAGGACATAAAACCCATGAGGTACTGATCAGCCTAATTTAAAACAATATTATATCAGGTTCCACACAAATTTAGTGAGGGGGAGTAATGCTGATTTACATGGGTGGTACCTAAATAGGAGGAAATTAAATATGAAGATAATTTGGATTCAATCTTTGCTGGTACAGAGCAGATTATGATGTACAATAATGGATGATTTTAATTTATTAACATATGAGACATGAGCAGAATCATAATTTTAGTTTGTGTAAAACTCTGGCCCAACCAAAGATCTAACCACTGCTAGACCTAGTATTGGGAAATGAACTAGAGCAGATAATGAAAGTAAAAGGTTGAGAATATCAAGGGAGTTGTGATCGCCTTGAGAGTTTTTCGACATTCCAGCATTGGTACTGAAGACTTGTGCTCCAGAACTTGCCACAGCCTAGCCAAGTTGCTCCAATACAACTACAACACTGGCATCTACCCAGCAATGTGGAAACTTGCTCTGGCTCAGCAATAACCTGCTCACAGACACCTAGTTTGGGTTCCACCAGAGCCACTGTGTTCATGACTTCATTACAGCCTGTGGCATCATGGCCACATTTGACTGAATGTGGCACAGAGGAGCCCAGGCAAATCTGGAGTCAATGGGAATCAGAGAAACTCTCCACTGGTTGGAGTCATACCTAGCACAAAGAAAAATAGTTGTTGGATGTCAGCCATCTCTGCAGGAGTTCCTCAGGGTAGGTCTAAAATGCAAATAACTCTTTGCAAACAACCCAATTATTTGAAACCAGAGGATGTTCCTAAGTGCCTCCTAATTCAAGAATGACAGCCTGCTCTGGAATGTCCTTGAACCAGCCTTCAGGTTAATTATCTCTGGCATACAATTATTTCTGTGATCTGATTAAATAAGTGGGTTTTATAACTCCTCAGGGTTTACTGTATGCTTTTAAACTAATTTAGCTCTACCTCCCAAGACACGAACATTTTTGTTCGTGTTGCAGACCTCATATCTCCAGTTCTTTAGCTAAGTAAGCCCACCTGCCGTTTATGATCTTGTCTTTCTCAATGTATACCTGTTAAATCAATTTGACCCCAACTTTTTAAAATGTAGTAGACTTTAATTTTCCTTTAACTGTATTTATTCCATTTTCTACAGTTAAATTGTCATTCGTAAAATGAAAAATTTAAATAGTAAAACACACAAACCTGGAACCATATATTTGCAATCATGGTTTGCCTTTTGCCATTACCAACCCTATAGGATGCTATGACTTAGAACAAAGAACAAAGAAAATTACAGCACAGGAACAGGCCCTTTGGCCCTCCAAGCCTGCGCCGATCCAGATCCTCGATCTAAACCTGTCGCCTATTTTCCAAGGATCTGTATCCCTCTGCTCCCTGCCCATTCATGTATCTGTCCAGATACATCTAGAATGATGCTATTGTGCCCGCCTCTACCACCTCCCACTGGCAACGCGTTCCAGGCACCCACCACCCTCTGCATAAAGAACTTTCCACACATATCTCCCTTAAACTTTTCCCCTCTCACCTTGAAATCATGACCCCCCTGTCTATACCTCTCATGATTTTGTAGACCTCAATCAGGTCCCCCCTCAACCTCTGTCTTTCTAATGTAAATAATCCTAATCTACTCAACCTCTCTTCATAGCTAGCGCCCTCCATATCAGGCAACATCCTGGTGAACCTCCTCTGCACCCTCTCCAAAGCATCCACATCCTTTTGGTAATGTGGCGACCAGAACTGTACGCAGTATTCCAAATGTGGTTGAACCAAAGTCCTATACAACTGTAACATGACCTGCCAACTCTTGTACTCAACACCCCGTCCAATGAATGAAAGCATGCCGTATGCCGCCTTAACCACTCTATCGACCTGCATTGCCACCTTCAGGGTACAATAGACCTGAACACCCAGATCTCTCTGTGCATCAATTTTCCCCAGGGCTTTTCCATTTTACCGTATAGTTCGCTCTTGAATTGGATCTTCCAAAATGCATCACCTCGCATTTGCCTGGATTGAACTCCATCTGCCATTTCTCCGCCCAACTCTCTAATCTATCTATATTCTGCTGCATTCTCCGACAGTCCCCTTCACCATCTGCTACTCCACCAATCTTAGTGTCATCTGCAAACTTGCTAATCAGACCATCTATACCTTCCTCCAGATCACTTCTATGTATATCACAAACGACAGTGGTCCCAACACGGATCCCTGTGGAACACCACTGGTCTCAGTTCTCCATTTTGAGAAACTCCCATCCACTACAACTCTGTCTCCTGTTGCCCAGCCAGTTCTCTATCCATCCAGCTAGTACACCCTGGACCCCATGCAACTTCACTTTCTCCAACGGCCTACCATGGGGAACCTTATCAAACGCCTTACTGAAGTCCATGTATATGACATCTACAGCCCTTCCCTCATCTATCAACTTTGTCACTTCCCCAAAGAATTCTATCAAGTTGGTAAGACATGACCTTCCCTGCACAAAACCATGTTCCCTATCACTAATAAGCCCATTTTCTTCCAAATATGAATAGATCCTATCCCTCAATATCTTCTCCAGCAGCTTCCCCACCACTGACGTCAGGCTCACCGGTCTATAATTACCTGGATTATCCTTGCTACCCTTCTTAAACAAGGGGACAACATTAGCAATTCTCCAGTCCTCCGGGACCTCCCCCATGCTCAAGGATGCTGCAAAGATATCTGTTAAGGCCCTAGCTGTTTCCTCTCTCGCTTCCTTCAGTAACCTGGGATAGATCCCATCTGGACCTGGGGACTAATGCCTTTTAGAAT